AAAAAAAAACCGCCACAGACCATGTACGTCCGAGCAACTCTCAAATGCCCTTCAAAACGCTCCTATACTGCCCTTCGTAGGCATCATCCTGAACCGTTGAAATGATACTTTAATTGTCAACCTCAACTTTAAGTTCACGGGCCCTAATATCCCAGGCCAGGCTCACGCACTGGAAAAGCCCCATAACTCGGCCTCGATAATGGAACAGAAAGTTATATATAATGCATCTATTATTATTGTACTTAATAATTCTATACGTTAAATTATTATGATCATAGTAATCCATATGTATTTAGAACTCGAACGGCCCCAGTTAAACCAAATTAGCACCAACAATCAATTAATATAAATCAAACCAGGCATTTAGATGCCACATTTATTAATTTTTTTTTTCCCCATTAATATCTTGATAAAACAAAGATTTCAAATTTCCACAAAACATTCAAAATTTCAAAGCGTCGATCAAGTTTAGATATTCAATCTACGAACATAAAACATGTCAAAAATACTCCTTGTGCACACCTATGGCACTCAAGTAGGTTCCACCCGATGAACCACAAAACCCAACCACGACTCCATTGCTACCCATAATCGAGTTGAAATATTTCCCAACCTCCATACCAAAAGGACCCCATCCCCTCTTCTTCGTGTAAAACTTCAGCGATTTAATCGCATCGACCCCCTCAATGGGCCCGTAAAAACCTTCCACGCCGACCACGAAATCGTCCTCGTTCAACTTAAGCTGCAAAATTGAATTAACTTGATAAAAATCTGAGTACAAAGGACCAAAAAAAAAAAAGAGGGTCAATGGTTTCGAACCTACCTTCTCGACTCTTCCGACAGACAAGCCACCACCATGCAAAGGAGAAAGAACATCACAACCATCTCTCCTCTCGTAAATAAACTGGACACCACATATGATATTTTTAAGGACACACAAGTAAAGGTGGACTTCCTTGACTTTGGAGAAGACTCCATCATCCCACGGTTTGCCTCCTTCAACATTGCCCCAAGGTCCGGAGCTTCGTGGCACAGGGATCGGTAATTTAATGACTTTCGATTCCTTCTTCACGGATACCTTCACTTCTGGTTCCTTCTTCACGGACACCTTCCTAAGGTAGACGCCAATGGCGTTCATGAAGGAGTCTGCTCGGCCGTGAAACCCGATTATGACTCCATTCTCGGCATGAAAGCTGAAGTGAGTGCCAGCTTGCTTCCCAAAAGGTCCGTATTTGCAACGATTCGTGATTATTTCAAGCGAAGTCACCACATTTCCACTGCTGCCGTAATGTCCCACGGTCCCACTTATGCCCGTCACAAGCTCGTTCGGATAATCGATATCAAGCTGGAACAGCCGTTCGTATTAATAGGTTCAAAATTTATGTACCATAAAAATCAAAAGTATAAGTATACATTTTAACTCATCGACTATAACGTGTCGACATGACTAACTGTTAGACCGGCTCACCCAAAAAAAATTGTACCAATTAAAAGCTCGATTCGATCGGTAAAACCATTGTTAATATTTCACATTATTCGCACTTACGAATTCGGTTTTGTCACCACCCTTTCCTCCAAACCTTTTGGCGGTAGCATCGGCATGACCTTTGAACATGACGGAATCGATAACACCGCCGTGACGGATAATAATTTGACTTAGTCCAGTTTCAGCCTTCCAATTCCACGGCTTACCAGATTGACCCCCCCATGACCTTACGGATATGTCTGCACCTGAGCTACAGACGTTTGCCTGCACAGTACATACCCATATATTATAATGACATTAAGAAATAAGAAAAATTAGCAGTGATAAAGAATTAAAGTAGAAAGAGAGGACCATCTTAAAAAGTTGCTGTCAATTTGGGACTCAATATGTGATGATATAATTAATGGTGTAATAAAAATGCATGCAATATTGATTGTATAAATAGTTGCCATATAATAATTCGTGGAGGCTTTCGAAATTCAAGGGTGTTTGTAGACTTGTAGCTATCTATGGCCTCTTGACTTTCCCAAAATCCGTCATAAAAACCGGTTCGAAGTCCTATAAAAGAGTGTGGATTACCCAAGAGTGCTTGGATGAGATGGCTTGGATCACTTCCATCTTAACCAGTGGTCTCGTGCTCGAGCCCTGGGAATGCAGCGGTGTTAAAACTCTTGAGGGAGAGCTTTGCCGCCCTTGTGGTCCTACCCGGCTCGATTCCGGATTAATCGGTTTCCTTGTGGATCCGGAAACCAGAAGGTCCCTGTACCAAAAAAAAAAAAAAGAGTATGTGGATTTATTCATCGCCCTTCGCCCCTATATATTAATCCAGAACGCGCTGAGCCTACGTGGCTGCTTCTGGTGCTTTAAAATCCTATGTGACAAAATTACATGCTTCGTTAGGCTTAAGTAAATTTTGTTTTTTTGGTACAAGGACTTTCCGGTTTCCGGATCCACAGGGGAACCGACTAATCCGGAATCGAGCCGGGTAGGACCACAAGGGCGGCAAAGCTCTCCTAAGTAAATTTTAACTTAATTACAAACCAAAAATAATTAGGTTTGAATTACCATAAATATATTGATTATTTATGGTCATGTTACATGTATTAATTGCATTTTATTATCATTCATTATTATAACTATTGAATTGTATATATATTTTAAAAGTTAATAATTTTTGTATTTTTTATCAATTTTACATATGTAATGTATCAAATTAATCTTCTTTTGATGAGTTTCGATTTAACATCCATATTGTTTGTATAAAAAAAATAATTTATATTAATCTTTATGACAATAATAAAATTATTTTTAAAATTAATTAGAAAAATAAAATTATTTATCAACTAATATATTTATATTTCAAGTAGTTATATGATATAAGTTATAAAAACTAATATAATATAACACATGTAAGTCATAAGTAACACATATCATTCTAAAATATATAGTAATATATTTTTTTGGTAAAAAATAAACTAAATTTAATATAGTTTTCTCATTAATTTCAAAATTTAAAAGTAATTTTTTGACAAACACCCGTGTAATACACGGGTGTTATACTAGTTTATTAATAAAGTAAGAGAGCATGAATGGCCTCCAATGCATAATAGAATTTTATTTATTCACTTATTAATAAAGTAAAAGAGTATATTAAAAAAAAAAACTCAAATTCCTATAATTATATGTATGATGTTATTTTTTGTTGATTCAATTAATTTTAATTTATATATCACCAAATTTATGCAACAATATATTTTATTTTAATTGGTTCACAACCACACAACATTAAAATTACTAGAATTGTGGTCGCGGGGCAGCGCCTTTCCGCTGGGGCTCTGTCTTTCTGGTGGGGCCTGGCCTCCGAGCGTTAGTTGCGATATGGCGGCTTTTGGCGGTGCGTGTGTCGTAGGGTGGGGCGGGACCCCAGTGCTGCGGCAGTCTTGTTGTAGCGGTTGGGGTTGAGGCGGCGTGCCATCCCCACACTCCCTTGTGCGTCTAGTGGTGTTAGGCACAGGGAGTTGGGTTCTTTCGAGCTCGGCTATTGGTTTTGGACGAGCTCGGGTGGGTCTGTTGTGGGGGCTGGCCGTTACTCTCTTGGTTGGGGATGTGTTGATTCGGAGATTGGTTTGGAGTTCTGTTGGCTCTACTGTATAGGCATTTGCAGTTTCGGTAGCCGCTGCCCGGAACTGGAACCTCTCTTGTGTCAATCTGTTTCACGGCGGGTCCAGCTCTTTTGTTTGCTGGGGAAGGGCCTTGTTTTGATTTTTGTTGTTGCTTGAGTCTGTTTAGTAAAGTGCTTTCGGTCTGGGCTCTTTGCCTGAGTGTTTTATGTATTGTCTCTTTAGTTTGGGCCGTTGGCCTCTGTGCTGATTACCCCGTGGGGGCCGATCCTATTTTTCTGTGGGGAGCGTTTCTAGTTGTCGGTTGTGTTTGTGTCTGTTTTTAGATTGGTACCCGTTTGTGGGTTGTCTAGGCCGCTTTTTAGCGTGTCTTCCCTATTTTCTTTTTCGGCTGTGGGCCTCGTTTGTATCTGAACATTGGGTTTTCCTTTTGAGTAGTTATATATTACCTCTTTTGTTCTGAAAAAAAAAAAAAAAAACAACAAACAAATATCATGAACACAAATTTTACCTTTCAGGACATTATTATTGATAAAATTTTTATATTTTATTTGTAACACATCAAATGATTCTACTGTATCAAAATAAATTCTCAATATTTTTTTGGATTAATGGAAGGGCGGGCGAGCGACATGATTTTTCCAGGTTTATGAAAAGCTCAAAATTTTACCATAAATTGTGTCAGACTATGATCCAAATGATGAGTCATCATGTTAGAAAAAATGTATATATGAAATTAGAAAGTGAGCTTGATAACGTTAACATTAATTTCTTACACAATGTTGAAGATAAGTGAATTATGATTTGTCATTATTTGATTATGATGATGAGCTAAAGGTTTTATACAAAACACACCACACATGCACAACACATGCACAACAGATTTTATAAACTGCACCTAATATATCACAATACAATTTTATAAACTGCATCTAATATATCACAATAAAATGCACATCAATTTCAATGTGCTTTGTTCTAGCATGCAAAACCGGATTTGAAGCCAATGTGACAGCACTATCATTATCACACCACAAAAGAGAAGGTGATTCAAGAAATAGAGAGCAAGTTCATGAAATAAAAACCTCATCCACAGAAGATCAGAGGTAGCATTGGCAAGGCTCCTATACTCAGACTCGGCATTGCTACTAGAGACTACTTGTTGCTTCTAGCTCCAGCTAAGATGATTTGGACCAAGAAAAATAAAGTGACCTCATGTCATCAACACAGCTTGCCCATCCTGCATCAGAGAAGGCTTTAATGGAAAATCTGTGAACATGCTGAAAGAGAAGACCTACTGAGAGAGTGCCTTTGATGTATCTCAAAAGATGTTTACAAGCCATCCAATTGAGTGGGAGCATGTAGGAATTGACTAAGTTTGTTGACAGCAAAAGAGATATCAGGTCGAGTCATGGTGAGATATTGCAGTGCACCAATGACACTTCAGTACAAAGAAGGATTGGAAAGAGCATCACTGTCTGCAAGATGAAGCTTGTGAGAATGAGACATAGGAGTGGACACTGGTTTGCAGTGAACCATGCTGGTTTTTGCCAAGAGGTCTAAGGCATATTTTGCTTGATTGAGAACCATACCATCTGATGATCTTAGGGCTTCAAAACCAAGAAAGTGATTGACCTCTCCCAAGGTTTTATGGGAAAACTTTTGACCAAGTGTATCTATCAGACACTTAACATCCAATGCATTGTCACCTGTTATTAATATGTCATCCACATAGATGAGAATGAGAAGCAACTCACTATTTTCTCTTTTGAAAAATAGAGAAGAATCAGAAACAGAAGGTTTGAACCCCAAAGAAAGTATCTTGGACCCTGCTTAAGTCCATACAAAGACTTGTGAAGCCTACACACAGCAGTAGGGTGAGCCTTATCAATGAAGCTCTCAGGTTGAGCCATGAAAACAATTTCATGAGATCTCCATTAAGAAATGCATTATTGATATCAATCGGCTGAATAGACCAGAAGTAGGTGACAACAAGAGTGAACACAAGTCTGATGGTAGAGGCCTTAACAACAGGACTAAATGTCTCCAAAAAGTCAACACCTGCAGTCTGTTGAAAACCTCTAGCTACAAGTCTTGCTTTAAACTTGTCCATTGAACCATCTAACTTATACTTGGTTCTGAAAACCCACTTATTGGAGATAACTTTCATGTCAGGAAGAGGATCAACTAGAGACCAAGTGTGATTGTCAACTAGGGCCTGGAACTCAGATTTCATTGCAGCAGATTACTCAGGCTTGGTGAGGGCCTCATGCACAGAGGAATGCTCTATAATAGGTATTGTTGTGAGATGAGCAGAGAAGGTCTTAGGCTTGAAGATACCAGCCTTGGACCTAGTGACCATAGGGTGAGAGGACTTAATAGAGGAACACTGAGCAGGAGAAGAAGTATAAGGAATGGAAGTGAATGAAGATGGAGATAAAAGAAGATGAACTACAAGAGGTATAGCTAGGATATAAGAAGATGAATCAAGAACATTACTAGATTCTGAAGAAGAATGAACTGGTGAGGAATGGATGGGTGAAGGATTGATTGGTGGGGAGGGAAATGGTGAAGCAAGGAAAAAGGATTGATTTACCTACTCAAAGCAATTTACGCGAAGGGCTTTGCAAGATAGAAGAAGAAACCACATAAGGTAAAGAAAAGGAGCAAGAAACATGAATGTGTGAAACTAAAGGTGTAGAGAGAGATGATGAAATAAATAAAGAGGGATAAGGAAACTCAGTCTCATTGAAGGAGACAGTAATAGCAATAAAAAGTTTTCCATCAGGTCTAAGACACCTATAGCCTTTATGATTTGGACTGTATCCCAATAAAATGCATTTAGAATACCTAAACATAAACTTGTGATTGTTATATGGCCTCAAACAAGGAAACATGCACAACCAAAGGGTTTTAAAAGGTGTAAATCATGTGAGGAATGATGTACAATATCTCTGAATCAACTTTACAGAGGGACCTTTTGCTGTTATGTGTGTTGTGCCCTTTTGC